GTTTTCCATCCCCTTAATCATTTCAGTTGCCCTTTTCTGCACCTTTTCCAAGGCTATAACGTCTTTTTTGAGGTGTGGTGACCAGAACTGTACATAGTATCCCAAATGAGGTCACACCATCGATTTATACAGGGGCATTATGATAATGGCTGAATTTATTTCAGTCCGCTTCCTAATAGCATAGTATTTGCCAGTTTGGTGTAGTGGTTAAGTACGCGGACTCTAATCTGGGAGAACCGGCTTTGATTCCCCACTCCTCCACTTGCACCTGGCTGGATGACCTTGGGCAAGCCGTGGTTCTGATAAGAGCTGTCCTTGAAAAATAGCCATTTCTGTCAAGAGCTCTCTCAGCCCCACCTACCTCACAGGGTGTGTGTTGTGGGGAGGGGAAGGGAAAAGGAGTTTGTAAGCTGCTCTGAGACACCTTTGGATAGTGAAGGGCAGGGTATAAATCCAATCTCTTCTCTTCTTCTCTTCTCTTGTAACTGCAGTCACCCACTGAGTCGACATCTTCAGTGAGATATCTACCACAACTCCAAGATCTCCCTTCTGGCCAGCTATCGCCAATTCAGACCCCACCAAGGTGTATTTATAGAGAAAAGCAAAGGTAATCTTAAACATTGTGTGAAACGAACCAAAGGAACAGTGGATACGAAACTGGGAAAGCCAAAAGAGATGAAGCAAAGTGTGGATGAAGGTGCTATTTATGAAAGGCTAGGTCAGCATTTACCGAAAGAAGGTAAAGATGAGGAGGGCCGTAAAGAGTGAAACCAGGGACGTCGCATAGCCGGCGGTGTAGATGTACCAGAATGCCGAATAGTACGATTTCTGTGGAGGAAAAGACAACATTCAGAAATAGATACACGTGGGGGACAACTTGGCTGTCAGAGTTCGAGCATGGTCTCCCTTGGTAACCATGGAGGAGGAGGAGGAGGAGAATGAAGACTTGAGAAGAAGCATTTCTTCTTGACGACTGAAACACGTGCATTGGCATTCGGATTCCTGCACCCGAGATGGTCAACGCCTACCTTCTCAGGAACCACGCTGTTTTCTAGGAGGTCGTTCAGCGATCAGAAGAAGTGAGTCTTTCTTTCTTTTTTTTAATTTAAAAAAAATTATTTAAAAGAATAAAACAACATAACAGCGTATTCAGGCATGTCACAAGAACCAGCTAAGACAGTGAATAAATATCCACAGCAAAAACTTAAAAACACAGCCTAGCCCAAACATTTTGCATAGCAATAAACCTTAATCACCATCTTTCCACTTGTATGCTAATGAGTCTTTCTTGATCAGTCAAAATCCACAATAATGTTGGTGCTCCATAGTGGACACTATGACATCATAACCCTATTGACTGATTTGATCTTCTTGCAGTCCAAGGGACTCTCAAGAGTCTTCTCCAGCGCCATAATTCAAAAACATCTATTTTTCGCCGCTTGGCCTTCCTTACAGTCCAGCTCTCGCAGCCATACATGACTACTGGGAATACCACTGCTTTGACCATGCGATAGTCCGCTTATAATGGCCTCTCCTGCCCTGTTCTGCTCTACTTTATTTCCTCTCCTCATCCACCCACTCGCTTTAGTATCGTTCCACCTACGGACACACATAGGTAGAGTTTTGGGGGACTAGCTATTAATTATGCTACAGACTGCCATGTAATGGTTATATGAATGGATGTTTTATATAGGTTTTTAACAATTGTATGTTGTTTTACTTTTGTCAATTTACTGCTTATCAACTGTCGGTTTTTTTCCTTCAGAGTTGCTTCACTGAGGATTTAAAAAAAAACCCTTCATTCTTAATCAACCAAGCGAGTACATGAATAAACAGTTATAAATAATTATAATAAACAATTTTAACTGCAGCAACAGTAACTACAAAGCCGTATCCCAGTGCAGGTAAAGGTCTCCCTTGCTCGAAAGCCAGTCGAATCAGACTCTAGGGATGTGGTGCCCATCTCTGTTTCCAAACCGAAGAGCCAGCGCTGTCCAAAGACGTTTCCGTGGTCACGTGGCCGGCATGACTCAACGCCGAAGTGCACGGAGCACGGTTACCTTCCCACCAAAGCGGTACTTATTTATCTACTTGCAATTTCTTGATTTCGAACTGCTAGGTTGGCAGGAGCTGGGGCCAGAGACGGGAGCTCACTCCGTCTTGCGGCACTCGGGTTTCAAACTGCTGAACTACCGACCTTCCAGTCTGCAGCTCAGCATCTTACCCTCTGAGCCACCGCTGCTCCCAGTACAGACACACAAAAACTCATCGAAGTTAATGACACCTTTAAGAATACTAGAGAGTGCATGCATCTACCAGCAAAGAGGTATCCGAAAGTTTCTCTTTCGAGACCGTACAGTTTTGGTACGGCCACCGTATTTCCCCTAAACCTGAACTGTCCGCCCCAGAGTTTATGCAACTGAATACGATAAGCTACCGTCTCCATGTTGTAACCCGCCCTAAGCCTGCTGTGCAGGGAAGGGCGGGCAAGAAATCTAATTAATTAAATAAATAAATATGCACAGCAAAAAGACAATTGATCCTATTATGCACAGTCTCTTCCCCTTTATGAAGCACCTTCCTAAACCATTTGGTTATAGTACAGATAGCTTGCAGATAGCTGTTTTCCCCCACACACCACATTATGCTAATTTTCATCACGAACCAATCGATTTTGTTCTTATATCACTACATCTAGTTTCCAGTGTGGCCCTATCTATGGATACTTCAGACATTGGGGCCAGTGTTCCCTCTAAGCTGAGTTAGTGTGAGCTAGCTCACAGTTTTTTAGCCTCCAGCTCACACATTTTTGTCTTCGCTCAGGAAAGATGGCTCCAGAGCAAGCTAGTTTATGCAGCAGCCAAATCGCTCGCTCACAACTTTAATGCCCAGTAGCTCACAAAGTAGAATTTTTGCTCACAAGACTCCACGGCTTAGACGGAACATTGATTGGGGCCATGGGCAGATGAGACAGATCTTTCGGGGGGGGGGCGTGTATGGAAGGCAGCTAAAAATGTCCAAAATGACAGAACAGCACCTGCAGTTTAAAGAAACTGATGCACTCAGTGGCCATTGCTAGGCAACCATGATAGTATTGCCAGCCTTCAAGCCTTGGTTTCTGTCAGAAAGGGCAGAAGGGAGGGAGGAGGGCTTTTTCCAGGGCTCTTTTGGCCATTAAGGAAGGACTCATCAAAGCCAGGGTAGAGGGTGGGTGGGACGGAAAAAAGGAAAGAGGGAAAGTTGAAGATACAGGGGATGCCAGGAGGAGGTAAAGAGGAAATAATGTCGGGAGGGGGTTACATGGGAAATATTTTGTTGACTTTAGCTTCTTGATTTAATACCAAGTCTTCACTGACCTGATCTTCTGGTCCTTTTGTTAAACTTTCTTCAAATCCACAGGCAACAGAGTACGGTGGGAATGGCTCAGACCAGTAATTGCCCAGTGTACAGTTTCTGTGAATGAACCCTGTAAAGAATATCAGCATGGTGTAGTGGTTAAAGCATCAGGCTAGGAGACCCAGGTTCAAATCCCCACTCCGCCATGGAAGTTTGCTGGTGACCGTGGGACAGTCACACACTCTCGGCCTGACCTACCTCAAAGGGTTGTTGTGAGGGTGAAATGGACGTGGGACAAGAGTTGTAAACGAGTTTGGGTCCCTATTGGGGGAGGGGGGAAATAGCATATAAATGACATAAATAAATACTATCATTGTAGAGGAAACCCTGAGACCCCCATGGCATTGGCTGTAACATTGGGCCAATTGTACCCTCTCTGCCTTGCCTACCTTTCAGGGTTGTTGTGAGAATAAAACATACACCGGCCTAAGCACCTTGAAGGATGAGCAAGATAAACATGAACAAGCAACCAGTTAACGATGCCAAATGTGGGGAAGCCTGCACCCTCCAACTACAACCCTCCTTCTTCCTTTTGAATCATTGGAGCCATCCTGCTGTCAGCAAGCTGCCATTCTGTTTTCTGTGACCTCTGTGTACATATCCTTTCCCTGTTGCACCCGGCTTGGTTTCTATCATCCTGCTCCTGCGTTGGAATGCAAAAGATAACTGCTGGAGGTTGTGTGGGGGAGAAGATGCTGTAATGCTTGCCTATTGCTTTTCTCATGAGGTGGAACAGGCTACCTCGGGAGGTGGTGGGCTCTAGAACTTTTCGGTTTAGAGAAGAGATGACTAAGGGGGGACATGGTGGAGACTGATAAAGTTATTCATGGGGTGGAGAGAGTTGACAAAGAAAAAAAATTCTCCCAAACTATTAGAACTCGAGGGCATCCAATAAAGCTGATGGGCAGTAGGTTCAGGACGGACAAAAAGAAATACTACTTGACACAGAGAGTGATGAAAAGGTGGAATTCGCTGTCAGAGGGTGTAGTGATGGCCACAGGAGTAAACAGTTTTCAAAGGAGATCAGATAGATCCATGGAGGATAAGTTTATCAATGGC